CCCCCCCCCCCCCCCCCCCGATTTTTTTTACTTGAGTTTACTTTTTAAATCACACTAAGCGATACTCTTTAAGTGAACGTACTAGTTCAAAAACTAAAAAGTTACGCTTAACAAAATCGAACGAACAATTTCTTTAATGTTTATGTCTTTCATGTCTCTTTTTTATCCTCATGATACTGGTCAGGCTATTGTTTCTCTGTCCTTTTCTCATAATTGAAGAACGTGGCTCTTCTGTAGTCTTCTCACTGCCATTCTCCACCTATTCCTATCTATCCTGGTGGAGAATGACCGTTCAAGATATTAGAGTGAAATTGACTTGAAATTCATTTACTGGTGGTAGGACCTCTTGTGAGTCCGCACGGATGGGTACCACCACCCTGCCTATTTCTGCTGTGAAGCAGTAATGCGTTTAGGTTTGAAGGGTGGGGCAGCCATTGTAACTATAATTGAGACCTTAGAACTTATATCTCAAGGTGGGAGGCGCATTTACGTTATGGATGTCTATGGGCTCCAGTAACCACTTAACACCAGGTGGGCTGTGAGCTTGTCCACCAATCTAGCAAAAAAAAAAAAATATTATTGTTTCATCATCCGTCATCGCGTGTGCAAATTTTGAGGCCTTGAAGCCGGTGAAAATGACGTATAAAAATTCCGTTACATAAAAACCAAACATATAGTACATACATATATTATATACCTATAGAGCTATAAAAACTTGAAATTCCTTAATTTTTTTGTTAAAAATCAAAAAAAAAATCTTACTTACTTAATAATGATTTCATAATTTGTTAACGCTGACATACTTTTGCGTACAAGCTTAACCTCGTAAATAAACATAAATAAACAATGCAGTTAATTGCTGTCGTGTTGAATTGACTGTGCTGTACGCGGTTCCAATGGCACGGGACCGGTTCGCGCCATTGATGTAATGTGGCTTTTTTTTTCTTTAATATCACAGCGATTTTTACATTTTTTTAATTCTTATTTGGCTTGTGACACATACATTTTACTGGTGGGAGGACCTCTTGTGAGTCCGCACGGGTAGGTACCACCACCCTGCCTATTTCTGCCGTGAAGCAGTAATGCGTTTCGATTTGAAGGACGGGGCAGCCGTTGTAACTATACTGAGACCTTAGAACTTATCTCAAGGTGGGTGGCGCATTTACGTCGTAGATATCTATGGGCTCCAGTAACCACTTAACACCAGGTGGTTTGTGAGCTAGTCCACTCATCTAAGCAATAAAAAAAAAACTGTCAAATATCTTGTGTTTTGTGTTGTATGATGGCTACCACAACAAAGGCAAGGCATTATGTGTTATTGTGTTATTCCCTGACTGCGTCTTCATTCGCAGATAAGAAGCCACCATGAGCCGGCACTGCTAATTCCTCATCACCTGGCCTAAATGTCTCCCTAATTCATGCTTTGGTCATTTTGATGGTACAGAATATTCCGAGCAGCCTCATAAGGGTTCATTGTTTATTTTTATTACGCTACCTTAATGTCTAATGTCTATGCAACAACTAGATGAGCCGCGAGCTCTTTCACCTCACTCATCTACAATATCATACATAGATAATTGTAAATAGAGATGCTTTAACAAAAACCGACTTCAAATAAAAAATAAATAAATTCCAAAACAAATTAATATACACTAAAAACAATAATCATCGAAATCGGTTGGCGTGATATTGAGTTATTGACTTATTCATCTATTTGTCGCGCACGTACTTAATGCAAATTTAAGACTTATATGGTTTTCTCGTGGATATCATTATCAGAACTAGACTAAATTGAAATGGGACAACACGGGAAGCGTCAGCTTTATAATAAAAAAAGAATCATCAAAATCGATTGACCCAGTCAAAAGTTATGAGATAACAAACATAAAAAAAACATACAGTCGAATTGAGAACCTCCTCCTTTTTTGAAGTCGGCTAAAAAGCTGTTACATACTTACATGGTTAAAAGTGAGAACTCAGTCCGGATAATTAGAACTTAATGAGCCCGTAGAATGAATGTCAGTCCACGCCTGATCTTGTCGCTCCTAGAAATTATGTTCTTAAAGACGGTTCACAGTGCCCGATTATAAAATTGGATTCATATGTAGTGTTACGCCGGTAAGTGTAACGCCATCTATCGTCGAATAGTCCAACGAATATCGAAGGATCTAGTAGCATCTAGAACGCTCGAGAAGTACAACGCCATCTATTGTCAAATAGCGGAAACACACAATACTAGAATTTTGTGAAATATTCTCGACGATTCTAGGGATTTCGTCTCGACTATAAAAGCGTTGCAAAGATGGCACCCAGTCAGTTAGTAATCAGAACTACTCGAAGCGAAACAGCGAACGAAACACCTGAAGCGAAGCGGAAGAAGCGAATTGAGAATTTTAAAGTGTTTTAAGTGTTCTAAGGACATCTTCTGCGATCCTTCGCCTCGTGTAGGACATTTACAAATACTGTCGCTAATTTCACTATGGTCTCCATCAGTTGATGTAGGCTGTTGAAGAATATTAGATAGGAATATGATACAAAAAGGATTGTGTGGTTTTATGAAACCACGGTAAAAGTGAAACTTTTTTTCACATTATAGACATGTAACTCTGACAACAACATTTACATTAAACGCTGACAAAAATAAACAAAATAGCGTGGAGCGCTGGCACAAATGAGTAATAGTCTATACACTACACGGTCGGCTGTTGCGAACTACAACACACAGACGAAAAAGTTTGAGACGATGTAATAAAAGTTTCCCAAATTACGTTTTTTTTTTAATTGAAACTTTTGAAATTCAAGCTTTTCGATTTTTATTTCGTCACTGTATGGGACGATGTGAACGGGCTTGTTCATAGCTCGTGTGGTTTATTATGCTGATAGATACGGCACCACGTTTTTGCCTTTGAAGCCTTAAACGTACAGCACATAATGTTTCCCAGCGCGTTCTAATTTACCTTATATACGATTGAAATGTCAGAGTTTTACATGTGTATTTCTATTTATAGAGAGATATTAGTTAAGTTGTACAATATTCGATATAGATATAGACGCTTCTCTCTGAGGCCGTACGGTCTGACCCGCGTTCGAGAAATACAATGAAATTATAGTAACTGCCACGCCACAATCTAAAGCAAAATGGATTATTATATTTAATTTGACATAGAAATTGTGTCGTTTTTAGGTTTAATTTCTAGGCGTTGCTAATGCCCGACTGCTTGTCTATTAATCCGACCCAGTGACGGAGCAACAGAGAGCCACCGTCAGCCATAACATGTCCTATCGGATTCCCGTCCGTTCTCGGTGCTTTTAAGCTCTTCAAGCACCGGTTCACGGGCTCAACCTGAGGGCTCGACGAGCGAACTAGCCCATAGACACAGCCCACTGAGTTTCTCGCCAGATCTTCTCATTGGGTCGCGTTTCCGATCCGGTGGTAGAGTCTGCAAAGCACTGCTCTTGCTAGGGCCAGTATTAGCAATACACCCGGTTTGCGACCCGTGAGCTCACCTACACGTCACGGAGAATCTAGAATAGTCTCTCAAGACTAATAGTCTTAGGTAGGGAAAAAAAAGAAGAAGAGTGATTTTAAATCTTCGCACTTGCTACTGTGGCACCGCGTTAATTGCCTCCCTTTTTAATATTCTGAGGAGGCGCTCCATACAGAAGTATGAAGAACTTCCATACATGAGATCTATAGACGGCGCTACCACTGATCCAATTTAGTTTGAAATAAAACACACACTGCAAACCTCAGTACGATTAGTTTCTGTTTTAATTTTATTTTCTTTTATTGTCACTAAACAATTGATTATAATTAATAGGCACAGAATATTTCAAAAACATTTCATAATATAACTTTAAATATTACAAAAGAAATAGTCTTATCAACTCTATTATAACAAATAACATGTTTAAATTATAACGCTGTTCATCCGACATGCTATTTTTACAACTTCAATAAGTCTAGCGTCCTCTTATTTAGACTAATTGAGGTGGTAAAAATAAAAAATCATAAATCATCAATAAAAATACTAAGCATTGTAACGTTTTGAAGGATTCCTTATAAACGCTATTATTATAACGTTGTTTTTACTTAGCGTGGTAATACTGCTATATTACACAGCATTAAAATCGACTAGTTATTTTATACAAAACTCATAGCTTAATAACTTGTCAGTTTAACTGCAAGCCATAAAATCTTTCACTGCTCCATTTATGTTGAAATGATCTAGATTTTTAAAATGCTAAGCTGTTAATTAGATCGCGTAATTTTCAACAACATATCGAGGGATGAAAAACAATTTGGGTGTATCGACATTTTTGCATCTTTACAGCTGAGCCAAGGTTTAATAATTTGAAAAAATATCTTGACGAAAAACATCTTCACGAAAAATAAATCTTCAGCTATTTAAATTAAGTAAATATAATTGGTCAATCACTCGCACATCACTCGTAATGAGGACTCCATTGAGCGGTTGGTGGTGCAAGGGAAAGTCGAGGGCGAAAGATCTCGCGGACGATCTCCAACACGATGGACCGACCTCATAAAATCTGTGACTCACTCCAACATAAATGATTGCTCTGACTCTGCGAAACATCGTGCCACATGGCGTCGCATCGCGAGAGCATCGGTATCGCAGGATCCGACTGGTGCATGACCACGACCACTCTGTCAAGAGTGTACGAATAGGAGGAAATTACATAAATATAACGATGGGAATTAACGTTATTGTCTGATTACAGCCAAAAAGCGTTTGCTTTTAGCAATGTAATATGTCTTTGGTTAAGTGACTCTGAGCAAATACTGCGCTAAAAATATTTTTAGGCAATCGCATTGCTTCGAATACGTCTTAAATAATCTTTTGATTTAATCTAAAAAATTACATCTTGTTAAATCTAATATGGTCACAATTTTTTTATTTATTTTTTATAAAAAAACATAACGTTTAATAGAAATAACGTTAATATGCTAATTAGCTTTTTTTAACGAACTTTTTTTTTTAAGTTCCGTTCGCTATTATATTTGAATATACATTGTTCGATTGTTTTTTTTTTTTTATATAAGACTAAAGGAAATTGTTGTAAAAATCATGATCTAGAAGACACTGTTACCGATGCTCTAGAGTCTTCGGTCGCTACCGTTACGACGGTGTCTGGTTTCGCTGCTGTCTCGTTATGCCTTGAGTTTCCTCCGGTGGTTTGGGCTGGGGGGGCGGTGGCGTGGTGCGCCAGCGCCGCTGTGATCGGCTGGGTGATCGGCTGGGGTGGACAGCCGGGATAATGCACACCGACTACCTCTTCGTAGCTGGGCGGCGCCATACACTCTGAAATTGATTATAATCATTCATCATTGATTGCTATTAATACTTTTTTTCTCCTACCTACGCCGAAAGTTCGGTTTACGTCCCGCTGCACAGGGAAGAAAGTCTAACTTTCCCTCCCTGGGTATTGACAAGTGCGCGTGTAAGAGTGACGATAGCATGTGACGCAGCCTTAACTCCCCAGGTTGATCTATGCCTCTTACCTCACTGCCTTCCGACATGATACTACACAATTAAAATAACATAACTGTTCACGCATCTGCCATGCTGATGATGTCGATCATTGAAATGATGGTATCCATACATCGTGTAATAAAATTGAAACCCGCAAAATTATAATTTGCGTAATGACTGGTGGTAGGACCTCTTGTGAGTCCACGCGGGTGGGTAGGCTCTACCTATTTCTGCCGTGAAGCAGTAATGCGTTTCGGTTTGAAGGGCGGGGCAGCCATTGTAACTTTACTGAGACCTTAGAACTTGTATCTCAAGGTGGGTGGCGCATTTACGTTGCAGATGTCTATGGGCTCCAGTAACAACTTAACACCAGGTGGGCTGTGCATCTAAGCAATAAAAAAAAACGCGGAAAGACCCTACTATGCCCGGGTTCTGACCTCGGACGTCAGGATAGAGAGTGCAAAGGGAGCCGTTTAATAGATAATGCCCTAAAACAACCACGCGGTCTGCTCTCAACATTTGCAGACCCTCAAGTCATACCCCGCGTGCCCCTAAGCCCCATCGGGTGTGGTTCAAGCCATTGCCCGAAAAACAGCATAAAAATATGTAGTTCAGGAACCACTTTGCATTCAGCAGTTGCCGAAGCCAATATATATCGGAACAGGAAAACCGCTATCAAATAGCTACGTGATCGAATACACAATTACATTAAAATGACGGAAATACAAGCTAGACTTAAATATCCTTAGCAACAGTCGCTCTGTTACCAAAATAATAATGTATTAACGAATTTTATTTACTTAGCGCCGAATTTAGAGGAACGTTAATGATTTCCCTAAGAGCCTAATACCCGAAATCAATATACTTCTTGCTCTTATAAAACATCTATCAAAACTATTTGACATCAACCTTCCTCGGGTTATATCTCCATAAATATCCATTGCAATGACCCATAAAGAAGGGCTTTCTTCTTTTGGTAGGTATTACTTTTACTACATCCGCATTTGGTTCTATGATTTGCATTTTATTATCAATCTATGGTACCCATAGCACAGGGAATCCTAAATTGGGGCCGGACGTCCGTGCGTGATTTATTCCTAGTTATTATTATTGTTATTCCCAAATTTGTTTTGTTGAAGTCTGCTTTTCTTAAGTGAAGCTTCTTTAGACGCGTGGAGAGTAAAATTTAACTCGCAATAGATCGTTACGGATAGAGAGAAAAGATACAATTTAGGAAGAGCGAGAGTGAGAAAGTCGACAGAGCGTCTCGCGAACCACTCGACCGTGGAGAGAGGGAAAGGACAAAGCGAGCTAGACCGTTTCTCTTATAAACAGCATTCCCTATTGAAACAGAATACGTACCGCAAAAAAAGTTTCACTTCTTTCACGTGCACCAAGTTGCACGTGCGCCATTTTTCTTTAAATATTGTCTCATGTTAATTTGAACAAATTTTACCATATTTACCATACCATTACAATATCACAGGAAGTGTGAAAGTAGCCCCGGTAATGAACAAATTAAAGAGCGGACGGTTAGCGTGGTATGGACACGTGATGGGTAGAGACGAGATGCATGTGACTCGGAGATGTATGGAAATGGCAGTGCAAGGTAGAAAGGGAAGAAGTCGGCCGAAGAAGACATGGATGGAGTGTGTGAATGACGATATGAGAGATCAGTGAGTGTTGAGATGACGGCTGGTAGAAGAGAATGAAAGAGAAGAGAAAAATTAGCTTTAGCTGTGTCCCCACCTAGTGAAATAAGGTGGAGAAAAAAAAAAGAAGAAATCTTACCATATTTGGGAGGTGGTGGCAAATTGGAGGGACTGACATATATAGTAGGTTCCGTCTGTTCTAGTGACGGACGAGCACGAGTTCCTACATATACCCTCCTCTGCTGCGTGTTGCGCGTCTTTTGCCCTGAAAATGAAAAACGATTGTCATTTAAAAAAAATGCCTTGAGGTTTGTATTCTGAGAGCGTGACTTCGAGAGCAGTTCGGTTAATCTCTAACGTCAGATGAAATGCTGGCGTCGAGTAAGATGCTTGAAAATCCAAACAATTCAAATACTAGACTCAAAACAATCAGAGATACTTTCGATACTTGTTTTTTTTTTTTGATAAAGAAAAATATTGACAAATTACTCTAAAATATTATGCAATATTGACTATGCACATGGCAATTCGGGTCTTCTGGATCCGCTCTCGTTGTTTTTAGGCGCTCCGAGCACCGGTCACCCTCAAGAAACTTGACCCAGAGGCGAAGAGAAGCTACTGAGGTTCTCGTCGGATCCTTTCAGATTCCGATCCAGGGGTAGATTCGGCCAAGTTTTTCTCTTGCTAGGGCCGATACTGGCAAGTTCTTTCCAGAATACCCCATCGCTAAGAGCTGAATATGAGTAGGCTAACAAAAGACAGCGGCTAACGGTAGGAAGAAACACAACTGACATTCAGTCGCGAAGCAGCTGCCCTTGAGTTCTTAGATCTCCTTGGCGGCAGTAACTGTTAGCAAATCCCTTCCCTATTGGCTGGGCCTTTGCTCGCCCACCTGTCCTGGTGAAACTGGTAAGGCCAACGAGCCACCAGTAAACCTTCCTTCATAAAAAAGGCTGCACGACTCAGCCCTAAATGAAGCTTAAAACCGTCGCTGCGTCGCGCGAAATTTTAAAGCGGTTTAATTACACAAAATGCATTTACTTGTCCCGATGATTATAATTCGGATGCACGCAGCTATAAATATTAACACCAGCAATGTGCTTGTAGCGCTTAGCGCTATCCACGCTATGTTCGTCAGCGGATCACCCTCCTTACTCTCTGTCGGTGGTGGTTTCTCATGATAGTCCGGTGGTCTCTCATGATAGTCCGGTGGTCTCTCATAATAGTCCGGTGGTATCTCATGATAGTCCGGTGGTCTCTCATGATGGTGCGAAGAGGAAATTATAGACATACGCATAATAAAAAATAAAAAATAAAAACAAAAAAAACGAAATGCTATTTAAAAATAACACTGCTTTTTTCACTTTCTATTTTAACGTTACATTGAAACAACAGAACTGGTCGTGATCCGAACGCGTATTGATTTAACTGAAAGCTTTTTATCTTTTCGATAACTCGCGCATTAAGCGTTACTGTGTGTTCGTTATAAAGTTTTTTTTTACTTTTATTAATTTAATATCGAATATATTATTGAATATGCGTGTTGCTATGAGCACGATCGTGTGACGACTGACGTTAATTAGGTAGCTGATAAAGTGGTATTTAATTTGAAACGCTATTTGTCAATTTAAGGTCTCTTAGTTATTCGATTTGTTTTAAAGTAAATAGGTGATATGTTTTGGTCATTAGTTGATGCAGCTTCACAATTATTTTTTTTATTATTTTTTATGATTGAAGGATTACTGGTGGCCCGGAGGCCTTTCCAGTTTCACCAGGACAGGTGGGCAAGCAAAGGCTCAGCCAGGAGGGGTGGGATTTGCTAACAGCTACCCGAGCGCCTCCGAAGGAGACCTAACAGCTCAAGAGTAGCTGCTTCGCGAATGAATCTACTACCGGATCGGAATCGCGACCCGCTGAGAAGATCCGGCGAGAAACTCAGCGAGCTGATTCATGGGTTAGGGCAATTATAATAAAAATCATCTCATTATTCATTTAAATCGATTATAACTATTCGGCGGTGCTGTAGTTAGCGTCCGCAACTATTGCGCCAAGGGTCGTGGGTTCTTTTTTTTTAACCTACCTAATCTGATAGCCTTGAGAGACTATTTCAGCTTCACTCTAACATGTAGGTGAGCTCACACGGCTTAAACCGGGAGTGTTGCTAACACTGGCTCTCGCAAGAGCATTGCTTCGCAGAATCTACCACCGGATCGGAAACGCGACCCACTGCGAAGATGCGGCGAGAAACTCAGTGGGCTGTGTCTGTGGGTTAATTCGCTCGCCGAACCCTTCGTCACCAGCGACGGGTTCAACGAGGACGGTGACCGGTGCTTGTGGTACCTAAAAGCACCGTTAATGGATCGGAAGGAACCGTAACGACGTGTTTTGGGCGAAGTCGACTGTTTACCATTCTGTCTACAGGATCGGGTATGGAGAACGTTAAATAACTCGTACCAAGCACACAGATCGCAATCCAAGACCATATCCATCCAATATATAATATTATGTATATTCGAAGTTTCTATTGCACCGCGTATCATCTATTTCACTGTTCAAGCCGGATTGGTACGCGCAATATTAGGATAAAAAAAATTATTTACTTAGTGATATGATCCTTAGGCAAAAGAAGAGAAACAGCCAGATGAGAAGCATTACGATCAACACCATCATGTACCAAAACGCCATGCTCGTCAGACTGGCCGGGTTTTCCTCAAATTTCTGGTCACCTTCGTTTTCGGGTTCATAAGGGCCGAAATCGTAATCGGGGTGACCGTAGATCAGAGACATTTTCGCGAAAAAATGTTTAATACAAAAACACGAAAACTTAATTGAATTAATTCACTTCGTATTCAATTAATCCAACTCCGTGTGCACTTGTCACTCGTAACTCGTTTGTCACGCAAACTAGTTGAGCTTTCGGACCAATAAAAAAAACTCTCAACAACTTGCTTATTACAAATTATTGGAGTGCATCACTTTTCGATCACATCACACGCTTTCATCACATCACTAGTCCCATAACGTCACACATCCCAGTGTGATTCTAAACATGATTCTTTGTTATAGCCGCCGAACATACAATGACCCGAATATGTGTTTTACACAAAAAAAAAAACGTTCTTCTATAGATATGATAACGGTATCATTTGATATTATCGTGACTAGATTAAAAATTGAATGTCGAAATCATTCTGTTATTTCTCTGTCTTTGCCATCTCTACNAAAAAAAAAAACGTTCTTCTATAGATATGATAACGGTATCATTTGATATTATCGTGACTAGATTAAAAATTGAATGTCGAAATCATTCTGTTATTTCTCTGTCTTTGCCATCTCTACAATTGTATGTTTTTTTTTTCCGATACCTCTTCGCTGGTAGTTTAGGGGGCTATTGCAGCTACGCCCGAGCGGGTAGATGAGCTCACGGGCTCAACCTGAGAGAACTTGCTAACACTAGCCCTAACAAGAGTAGTACTTCGCTAAATCTACCGCCGGATCGGAATCACGACCTATTGTGAAGATCCGGCGAGAAACTCAGAGAGCTGTGTCTTTGGGTTAGTTTGCTTGTCGAGCTTTTGGAGGACGATGACCGGTGCTTAAGGGACCCAAAAGCACCGAGTGAGAATCCACTAGAGTTTCAGTTTCTACAGGGAGACAGCCATTATACAACCTAGAACTTCAAAGAGAGTTCATGCTTAAGCATACATTTTACTACTGATGGTAGGACCTTTTGTGAGTCCGCACAGGTAGGTACTACCACCCTGCATATTTTCTGCCACAAGTAAGTAATGCGTTTCAGATTGAAGGGTGAGGCAGCCGTTGTAACTATACTGAGACCTTAGAACTCATATCTCTGGCGGCATTTGCCTTGTACATGTCTATGGGCTCCGGTAACCACTTAACACTAGGTGGGCTCGTCCAACCATGCAATAAAAATAAAAAAAGACAAAATATGATCCCAGCCAAGTTTTTATTCAAGTTTTCCTATTAATGTCGTTCATAAATTATCGACCAAAATATTTTCGCCCCGTGTATCAGTTCAGAGTATCGATAATGCATGACGTTTTGTGGATATAGATAAAATTGACGCATTATATAAAATGTCTGAATGCGACTCGATGATAAAGCACGATATGGGATGTTTCAACAATAGCGTCTCATATATATTATCTGTTTTAGTAATAGCAAACAATGGAATTGAGAAATTGAGGCAAAAAAATAATAATAATAAAAGCACAATCTATTGTAAGCTTAAATTTGCCGATAATGCAAACAAGACTTATGTTGGAATCGAAAAAAGAAATTAATGTCCTTTGTTAATCTATATATTAATACGTGAAGCATAAACTTTGTATCCCTTTTTACGAAAATTGCGGGGACGGAGGAGTATGAAATTTTCCACACTTATAGAGAATATAGAGAAGAAGTGCACAATGCTAATATTTTTTTACAATAATGCATAAAAGATACATTAAATCAATAAAGAAAACATTACACACACTACATACCATGTATTTGACGCACACACGCATGCATATTATTTATTGTCAAGCTTTTGTTCTTGACGTCTGTTGTCAAATTGAGAATAGATTAAATATTGTTTGTCTTTGTTAATATTTTTTATCGTGTAGTTTTGGCGAAATTTGTGATTATAGAAGTATAAAATACAATCATAATAGTGTACAAACTTACAATTCCAATTAATTATAGTCGAATTTCGACTACTACGGGACCTCTAGTTATATCAAATAGACGATAAATACAAGTTTGATATAACTTAGGGCCCTAGCAATTGTTTTCATATTGTTTCAACGTAAAGTGAGTTCTTTTGTGCGGCACTAAAATCGCAGTTCGACGAATTTCTATCATTATATTGTAATTAGGGTTGCCACCCGTACTTTATAATAAAGTATTGTACGTTATTTCAGGTAATTGTACTCTATTATATCTCATCCCGTATCATCCATCTCATTACATTTAATTTCATGCCAATTGATTAATGTTTCAAATTAATCAACTTCATTTCATTTCACTTCATATTACCATTTTTTATGTTATTTTTTTTTATAAAATATTAAACTGCATGGTACGATACCTTTGCCTTTTCAGTTGAAAAAATAGAACTACTACTACTCATAAGCTTGACAACAAAAGAGCATGCATGTGTGTGTGTGTCAAATACATGGTAGTGTGTGTAAATGTAGTTTTTATGCGTTATTTAAAAAAAAATATTAGCTTTGTGCACTGCTTCTCTATATTCTGTATAAGTGTGGGAAATTTCATACTCCTCCGTCCGCGCAATTTTCGTAAAAAGGGGTACAAAGTTTTTGACGTGACGACGTCTTATAATTCGATGGAGCCAGCTGCATGCACGAAAAAACATGAATCATTGAGGCGTTCCATTTAAGGCTTGAAGTGCAAGCGAGAGCGCGCAACGAGCGACAAAGAGGCACAATCGGCCTCCGCGTTCGGCAGCGTTCGACATCTGTCTCTCTCCTACTTGAGTGAGCGATGCATCCGCGTGAACATCTGCTATACAATAATACATTTACGTGTTTTCGTCAACTATGAAGTTCAGTGAAAAGTGAATGTGGTGTAAATTGTCCATATAAAATATCTATCAAACAACTAAAATTAAAATTTTCTTTTGAAAAATGAAATCATTCCATCATTATTTTCTTATGACCTTGTCACATTCAACTATCGTCAGTAAACCGACTTTACAGACAACCGATTTTTTGCTTCACGTATTAATGTATAGATACTTTATGTGAAAAATAAAGTACACGAAGATACTTTATTTGAAAAGTTTTAGTCATATGTATTTTTTCGTTAGGCGAAAGACATCGATCGCTCAATCGATTTCGCCACTCGCCAACGCAACAGCACCTAAACACTCATTTTTTTAACAATTAAATCTGAACGCAACTTAACCTCAAATGTCAAGAATGTCACTGTCATTAATTGTCACAATTTCGTGTTTAATTTTATCAATTGTAATAAAAAATATGTATTCAAATAAAATAATAATAATAAATGAATAAGTTGTACTTTATTTTAATGCTATGTACTTTTTTTCCTACCCATAATATGCTCACATGATAAATTTTAAACCGACAAAAAGTATTGAAGTCTTGCTACTTCGATATTACCAATAAAAAAAAAATCTTATCTAGAAACTGAATTCCAACAAATCTTCGAATTCTTTTGCCACTTCATTTACTATCTGGTCGAAGATCGAGACCTGACAAGATCGAATGCAAAAAAAAATGCTGATAACAATGTGACATCTTCGAT